TTTATTTTCACACAAATTGAGAAAATTTAATTAATATATGTGGAAACTATAAATTTTACTTACATTCCTTCTAACATACATCTATATTGAATAACGATAGTTCATATTTGTTGATAACAATGCACATTAAATAAGAGTATATTAGAAAATTAAGACATTACACTCCCAAGAAGAAGGAAAGTGACCTATATAATTTGGAATAAACAAAAAAAAAAAAAGAAAGAAAACCTATCTTTGATGTAGTATTAATTCTAATGTCTTTATTCAATCTTTCTTAATAAATATAAAATTTACATGTTAAGAATTTAATGATGTTTTAACTTGTTAAGGATTTAATGATGTTTTTGTAGACGTAGCGATGATACTGATCTAACTTACAACAAATGATTTATGTATTTGACCCCAAATTTATTTATAATAAGTTTAATTTCTCATTTTTTAAGCAAGATTGGAGCTTTTATTAATTCCAATCGCCACGAACCGTTGAAGAAACACATAATGGGTCATGATATGTTCAATGACAAATACTTGAACCTAATGAGATAGAAAACGTTATTTGTGAGCTACTTCAATCCCTTCTCATAAAATGACGCAATGAAAACCTTACTTGCATCCCTAAATAATATCCAATAATAGCCTCATTCAAAGCGCAAGAAAATTTTAAATGGAGCTTTTGGACACTCGAAACGAGTCACACTCGACCACCTCAGTCTAAAAATCTATTACATCCTAAGAAAAACGACATAGAGGGTCGGTGGGGGTGGGGTATTATTGTGGATGCATGAAGCCAGAATTTAGGTACCATATTATACTATTCTACACAGGCAAATGCCGAGTAATTTGGGCTGGCATGGCTATCGATTATGCAGAGACTGTTGGGAATATAAAGAATATATAATAAAATTCTTTGGTTATATTTTTTCCCTTAACGAAATAATCCCTGAAATATTAGGACTCGAGAATGATAGAAACTTTGAGGCCAAAATATCCATCTAATTTAGTAGATGGTCAGCAATAACTCATTTGTTAATTCCTATAATTTATCCCATGTTTGAGAACGGCAACAAATGAAGAAATAAGAGGGTTCAACTGATTATGCAATTTTTCAATTGAAACGGTTCACTCTGCTCCCCCCTCCCCATCGGATCAAGTCAGCACCACCCGTGGATTCAAGAGAAAGCGAAGTTCTAATGAAAAGGAAAAAATGAAAAAGAAAATATCAGGGTCAAATATATACTTTCTTAATCACATCTTTCTCCACATTTTCCTTCCTCACACACACATAATAATATTTCTAACAATTTAACTTTCACTCACTAGCACTGAGTCGGGCTATAGTCAAATGACATGATACAAAGTGATAAGAAGGTAACACAAACCTCTTAATCTCGATTCATTATGTTCATATCTAAACAACAACTTACAACTAAAGCAATGTGCGTGTATTGAATAAAGATGTAACTTAAATTAAGATTCAAAAAGTCACATAATGCTTTCTTTCTATTATTCTCTTATGTTCTTTTCTTATTTGAGTTTAAACGAGTAATCGCCGAGACATTACTTAACAAATTTGTTGACACTAGTAGCTGCAAAACTATCGGTTGACATACTTCCAACTAAACATCAAGATCGACTAGAAATCTGAACTCGACAAAGTATGTCTGGTCAAACTTAAAAGCTGTTTATATATTACTCTCTCCGTCCCAATTATATATACTTGTTTCGTTTTTCACATGGATTAAGAAAGTTTCTTCAATATCATTGAAAAATTAATTTTTGCCAAGATTTTTTCTAGTTTACCCCTATTTAATAACTAAATTATTGTTGGAACTAATAAAAAAATTTGAAAAAGAAGAAGAAACGAGAGTTGTTCCATGTTTCCAAGAAGTGAGAAATGTGTGTATTTGGATGATTTCAAGAAGTTGGCATATTAAGTGGGAAAAATTTAATAAGAGTATATTGGTGAAGGAACAAAACAAAATATTATACATTAGGAAACAATTATATATATTTGGGACAAGAGAAAAAGGAAATCCAGCATATATAATTGGAACGGAGGAAGTATATAAGAAAACAAATTGGAAAGGAAAAGAATAATAATACTATACAGGTGTTAATACCAACAGTTGTGACAGTTGAATATGGTTGGGATCTCTTTATGAAATGTACAATGGGCGATATAATAATTACAATTATTGGCGCCAAATTAATCCAAACAATTAATTACACGACTCAACCACTTCATAACCATGGTCATATCTCAATTATAATTGCTAATAAAATAAGTGAAATTAATGATGAGAGGAATGCATATAGGTCACCAACTTTAAAATGATTTTTATTATGAGAAAATAAATTAGTAATATTGCAGATAAGACACGCTATTGCTTTTGTTAATCGAATCTATTAATGCTTTAATTAGTGATCATAAGTAGCTAAACAACCACCATCTTTCATGTGCATGGTCTTAAATTGATGCTTGACTTTGGCCGAACTTTATAACTTCAACTTATTTATTGTTCATATAAGTCTTCACGAATAATAAATTACGTTTTGTTAAATTGATTAGACGAGTCTCTTTCATGTATTTTTCTTAGAAAAAGCAAAGGACACTTTTTTATTTTATTTTATGGGTTATTGAAGATATTCTCAAAGAAAATAAATAATGTTGATTCGATAAAGTTGACTTCCATTAGGGCTGTCCGTGGGTCGTTAGAATCGAACCGACCCAAAACTTTCGAGTATTTAATAAATTGAAATGTCGGGTCCAAATATAATTATGGCACCGTTCGGGTTCGGTTCGGTTCGGTTCGGTTCGGTTCCGTACCATAATTAAATTTTTTAATATTTACAGCAACACTACATAAATACGACTAATGACACTTCATTCGTAACTTTTACAAATTAACGTAATCCAATTCAAAAACATATAAATAACTAGCCGTCCAATAAGATTAATTCAATGCATACAAATACCAAAAAGTAGATATTAATATTACAGCAATACTACATAAAGTAAATTCATTTGCTTCAAGCAGTCTACCTGCATAAAGAAAATGAAATATAAATTAAAAGTTATAAAAATAAAATATTTTTAAGTATTGGTAATACTTACCAACTATTTATTTAATTAATTTGCTAATTTATTTAAAAAAAATAAAATAATTTTATTAATTCAATATAAAAAATAAAAAAATTATTTAGTTTCGCTTCTTATTTGGTTCTTTGTCTAGACCTGAGACCCGATCCAAACCCATCGGTTCTTGATTCGGGTACCCGTTCGGGTATTTAACTTATGAAGTGCCGCTTTATTCGGTTCGATTCGAAATTTTTGGATACCCCTAACTTNCGTTCGGGTATTTAACTTATGAAGTGCCGCTTTATTCGGTTCGATTCGAAATTTTTGGATACCCCTAACTTCCATAATAAAAATATATATAAAAATAAAAATTATTAATAAATTTTAATTTTTTTGAATTATTATTGTAAAAAACTAAAAATAAATAATTAATTTTTGGAATCCTGCAAAACTACAACTTCAAAACCCCAAAAAGGTAGTCAAAGCTCAATCTACAGATGTTTACAATGAACTCTCTCTCTCTCTCTCTCTCTCTCTCTCACACACACACACACACATGTCCAGGCTGGAAGGATCCAAACCAAAAACCCCACCACCATTATTAACAATTAATAATCGGGCCTCTACCAAAATGATGATAATTTCGGGTAAATTGCACATTGGTCCCGAATCTACTGTCTGAATAACAAGTTAGTCTTTAATCTTGAAAATTGAGCAGACTGATCCTCAATCTTTTATTATAGTTGGCCAGTTAATCTCTCAAATAACAGAACCGACCAACTTTACATTACACTGTCACTTTAAATTTCTATTCATCAACTTAAGTTGTGTAGCAAGAAATCTAGTTTTATAAAATTAGACTTGATACCGACTATGAAGTAAAAAAAAAATTATTTCATGGTGCATAATGAGATCATAGAGTAAAAATCTGATAATTTAATTATTATTTCGAGTCTTTTTAAATTAGTTAAGTTTCATCGATAGAGTTCAAGTTTTCTGTTCTAAGATTCTATATTTTTCTCCCTATAATATTATTAATACATACTTCACCTTGGTTAATATAAAAAAATTAGTAAGATCCAAACCATGATTTATTGAAATTTTGGTGGTTTTAGTATTAGGGGTTATTTCCTCATTCTAGTATTGAGATCCAATGTGCTACTCGGACTATTTATTGGAGACCATAATGTAAATTTCTTTATTATTTTCCCGCAAACTATCCAAAAAACAAAAAATATGAACAGAGAAAAACCACAAAGAATTGTGGAGAGGGAAGAAAAAAAGAAAAGGAAAAGCTTGAAAAAGCAGAGGAAGAAAGGGAGGTTTGATTTCTTTCCTTTTTATTCTTTACTTCTCTTTTCTTGCAGTCTATGGTAAGCATCTTTTCTCACTTTTATGCTCTTTTCTCAGTTCCCATTCTTTACCTTCTTCTTAGTATACATTTATTTCTTTTGCTCAAGGTTCTCTTGCTTTGAGTGATTCCAAATCTTCAATTTCTCCTCATTTCTTCATCTGAAATCAATTACTCATTCCTATGATTCTTCCTGAATTTTTTACTCTAAAATCTTTCCGGCATTGATAATTGCTACTGAAAGTTGATTAATTTCTTTATTGGTATTTCGAAAATCTTCATTTCTTTTCCCTCCTGGGTTTTTCTTTGTCTTCGTTGGATTTGCCTTGGAAATCAATTTACATGGGAATCAAGCTTCAAAACCTCATCTTTATTGGTTTTTGATGCCAAGATTTGAGCTTTTCTAGTATTTTTGGTAATATTTTCTGGATTTTCGACTTTCTTGAAAACCAAATTCCCTGGAAGTCTTTGCTCTTGAAATGGTTTAGTTTCCTTTGTAGTTCAGTAGTTCTCACTTTTCTGCTTTTTGAGTTACTTCTTTTCTTGAATTCTGACTTGGGTTCTTAATCCATGGGACTTTGTCATGGAAAACCCATTGAGCCTCCACCAAACCTATCTGAAAATCCAATAATCCCAGGTGAAAACCATGAATCTGCATTCAGTTCTTCAACTGGGAAAACCCCAAAATTTCCATTTTACAGCCCAAGCCCACTGCCTAGTGCATTCAAGAGCTCCCCTGCAAACTCTAGCAGTGTCGCCTCAACTCCTTTGCGCTTCCTTAAGCGCCCATTTCCACCACCATCTCCGGCTAAGCATATTAAGGCTTTGCTTGCGAGGAGGCATGGGTCTGTGAAGCCTAATGAGGCCACTATACCGGAAGGGAGTGAGTGTGAGATCATTGGACTGGACAAGAATTTCTGTTTCTCGAATAATTTCACAACCCTCTATGAGATTAGGGAAGAGGTTGGGAGGGGTCACTTTGGGTACACTTGTTCGGCTAAGGGAAATAAAGGGAGCTTGAAGGGCCAGGATGTCGCTGTTAAAGTTATACCGAAGTCGAAGGTCTGGTACTTAAAGACACGAAGTATATCTCTTTGCAATTATTTTTAGTTTATTGGTTAAAGCTAATATATCTAATGCAATTTGCTTATATTTATAGATTGTGTTTCAATTTCGACTGTTGTGTTCATATTCATTTTAACAATATTTGCTTTAGATTCCACATGTTGATGTGTATTTCTTGATTGGAGTTCATATCTATTGTTTGTATACTTTGGTTGTTTGCTTGGTGATGATTATTTGTGACTATGTAAAGTTCCTTGATTGTTTCATAGGCAAATTCTAATATATCTCTCGTGTTGTTTTATAATGCTGTTCCGGATTCATTTACCCTCTTGCTTATTTGAATGTATTTTATGTTTTCTTTGCGGTATGAGGTACAATTATCTGTATAGGATATCATACATTCTGTATGAGTAGTTTACATGTTGGTTACATCTTGTCTGAGGTGGATTTTTCTGCAAGCATTGATAATCTCAAAACTACCACGATCATGTTTATGAAAAAATAAAATAATGAACATTGAAGTTGGCACCACAATTTATGCAGATGACTACAGCGATTGCGATAGAGGATGTCAGAAGGGAAGTGAAGATATTACGTGCTCTCACGGGACATAAAAACTTGGTGCAATTCTATGATGCCTACGAGGATGAAGACAATGTCTACATAGTGATGGAGTAAGTTTGAACTATTTCACTCTCAACTTTTTCAGTGTATTTTGCTGTAATTTCTTGTTTATTCATTTAGTTCAAGTTTGTTATCATTTTTTTTCTGCTGACCCTATATCATACTAATATAATGCGATTAGATACGAGGAGTCAAGGACAAAGTTTAACTTTTTTCTTTTGTATTTTCAAATATTTATATACCATCCCATATAGGCCAATGCTGTACTGATTTTTATACTTGCAATAGATAGTTGGCGGTTCTTTTAAATGGTCTTACATTGAACACGCATTCCCTAGCCTTAAATTGGATATGTATTCCCTAGCTGTTAATTCAATATTTGAAATTTTTATGCTCACACCTAGAACTATTTGTTTTTTCTTTTCCAGGCTATGTAAAGGAGGAGAATTATTAGATAGGATACTTTCTAGGTATGCATAATGTTCTTTCATTTAAATATTTAGCACTATTTTTCCTGCTTCAGATCCCTCTAACAATCCATCTATTTCCTGAAGGGGTGGCAAATACTCTGAAGAAGATGCCAAAGCTGTCATGGTACAGATTCTAAGTGTGGTTGCCTATTGTCACCTCCAAGGTGTGGTTCACCGTGATTTGAAACCTGAGGTATTCGACTACTAAGATTCTAACTTCAACTGTTTATTTTGTTGCGCCAGTGACATGTTGGTGCAGTGGATGGGTAGTATAGTATTGAAAAAGAAAAATTAGCTAAAATCTTGTCCATTATATTGTGCAATCCTTAAATAATTAAACTGTGTTTTTGGGCAAAGATGCTTAAAACTCTTACAAGGTGTTGAATGTACTAACATAACCAAGGACTGTTACACTGCCTTGGGATAGACATTTCGCATTTAGGTTCTTTCAGTTGAAGTTCTTAGAGGATTTTTGTAGACTTTTTGCTGCTAGGAAGTAAATACTCTCTCAAAACTCAGCATAGGTAGTCATTTTATTAAATCTGGCACTTTTGTGGAACAACTTATTCTGTCATTATGTGATTGATGACTAATTGTGCCGAATTTGCATGTATATTTTGATTGATAAACTAATCAGAAGTTATGTATATTAAGTTAACTACTAAGAAATTAACTCGATCTAATTTATGTTCAGATAGAATTTGAAATGTAAGCTCATTTCAAACATATATACAAATTTTGATTGAGAAACTCTGATCCCCCAGTCTAGCTTCCATTATTCACAATAAGGGAACAAGAGTTATATAGTAAAGTCTTGTAATCAAAAATCAATTTTGAGAGTTCAGTATCTCTATTTACGAGACTAGCTAACCTAGAATCTCCTTGCTGGAGTATCCTCCGTTTTGTAAATTTTACTTATTTAAACTAACTTATTGATTAAAGTATTGTCTTCTCGGAAAGACAAAGTTGGCTAGTATCATCTAAATTTAGATGGTATATGGCAAGTTCTACTGGAATTTTAGTTTTATTCTTTGCCTTTGACAGTCTAATCTCTCATGCTGTACTGGATATCAACCACTTTTTGGGGTAAAAAAGCTAATCCTGCTGGTTTCCATCTCTTTTTGCTCGAGTAAATCTGTATTTATCATGATAGGTTTCTCTTTCTCTTATTTGCTTACAATGATACTTCTATTTCATTTTTCTACTAAACATGACTTTTAAATTTTGCTTCAGAATTTTCTCTTCACTTTGAAGGATGAGAATTCCCCGATCAAGGCCATTGACTTTGGACTTTCTGATTATGTGAAGCCAGGTCAAGTCTATTGCTAAATGTTTTTGATGTGCTCATTATAATGGTATATTAGAGTTTAATGGACGGTTATATTGGCAGATGAAAGGCTGAATGATATTGTTGGAAGTGCATACTATGTAGCTCCTGAAGTTTTGCATAGGTCTTACGGAACTGAAGCTGACATGTGGAGTATTGGTGTGATTGCTTATATTCTTCTTTGTGGAAGCAGGCCCTTCTGGGCTCGGACAGAATCCGGAATATTTCGAGCTGTCCTAAAGGCTGATCCGAGCTTTGATGAGGCCCCATGGCCCTCTTTGTCTTCTGGTGCTGTAGACTTTGTGAAGAGATTATTGAACAAAGATTATCGTAAAAGGCTAACAGCAGCTCAGGCACTTAGTAAGAGTTGGACAATTTTAATTAAAGCTATTTTTGTTGGCATATCTTCTTATCTTCATTGTTGTTCATATTTCTTAAAAGATTACCTTGCCTTCTTCTTGAGTTAACCAATAAAAATTGTTATATATGTTAGTGGCAGTATATTCTAATGTATGTTTATTGATTTTATTGTTTAGGTCATCCTTGGCTGGCTGGTCATCACGAGGTCAAGATACCACTGGATATGATAACTTATAAGCTTGTAAAAGCTTATGTATGTTCTTCCTCTCTGAGGAAAGCATCTTTGGGGGTATGTATATAGAGTTGATTTGTGACAATTTTTAAAAAGAAAAGGAAAAAAAGGGGTATGTAATTTGTTTAATGTTACCATGTATACATCCGTTGATTTTCTTTCCTTTTCGCCATACAACTTGTTCCTGTTCAAATGTACATAAAATTAAAGATAATTTTTTCGAAACTAAAATGCTTCTTGTGAAGCTCCTGGCCATATTACTAGAAGACTATGATTTCACTCTGAGAAAAGTCAGTATTTTTTAAATATTGCCATGCCAAATTACAATTATTTTTTATCCTCGTGTCTTTGGATAATAAGAGTTTTCTATGCTTACCAATGCATTATGATTGAGCATTCTTGTGCCTATAAAAAATATAACTGTCGTGAATTTGTAACAGGCTCTTGCAAAAACATTGACAATACCACAGTTAGCCTATCTCCGGGAACAGTTCACATTGTTGGGGCCAAACAGAAGTGGATTTATATCCCTACAGAATTTCAAAATGGTCATTTCTCTCACTTTCGATGTGTCTGCCCACTCCCTCTCCCCCTCTGATATTTGTTTTCTTATGAATAATTTAATATTATCAGCAGGCAGCTGTCGGAAAATACTCGACGGACGCAATGAAGGATTCACGGGTTCTAGATTATGTCCATGTGGTAATGCTTTCAACAACCTTGCCTTTTCTGTTCTTAGTTTTAGGTTTAACTGGCTGGTCATTATTCAAATCTCGTCAATCGAAACAAAGAATTATTGAATGCATTTTAATGCACACTGTAGGTGAGTTCTCTGCAATACAGAAAATTAGATTTTGAAGAATTCTGTGCAGCAGCAATAAGTGTACATCAGCTGGAAGGAATAGAAAGCTGGGAGCAGCATGCGCGTCATGCCTATGAGTTTTTTGAGAAGGATGGAAACCGGCCCATTATGATTGAGGAACTTGCCTCAGTACGTCTCTCTCTCTCTCTCTCTATCTATATATATATATACACATATATTCACGTGTCCGCGTGTGCTTGATATGGGCGCACACAATTTACAGAAGCTTAGAATGTTGCCAAAACTGCTGTTGGTACTGTTCATTGGCTAGTGCATGACAAAACCCTTATAAAGCCTTTGTTTGAACCCCATTTTGAAAGAAAAAATGCATTTTTGAATAGTGATTTTCGGAGAATGTGTGGTTAAAAATGAAGATTTTTTTTTTTCAATTTACGTATAATATTATTTCATTAAAAAATGTTTGGTTGAAAATGAGTTTTGAAAAAATGAATTTTTGATAAAATGAGGCTCAAACAAGGGCAAAGTAGACACTTAGACGGTGATGACTTTCATATAAACACATTTTTTTTTCCTACTTATCCTGAAATGTTTACGCTTGTTCACAAAATTGGACTTGACATGGCAATAATCTTAATCCCCTGATTGGTGTAGATTAAAATCAAATTTCTAGTAAATTTGGATAAAAGTTGGCTAAAAGTGTGGTTGAAAAGTTGTGGTCCCATGAAATGTTTCATTAAAATTAATTGTTGATTTTGCTTTAGGATTTTTATCAACTTTTAGTCTACACCAAACATGGGCTAAAAAGAATAAAAGAAGCTACGATCTGGTTCACATTACTGTTAAATCTTGTCCAATAATGTGTACAAAACATACAATATAGATATTTTGTGGTTGTTTTAAGGATAAGGGAAAAGAGAGCGGGTTTGCTCCTTCAATGTGGCAAGAACTTGCGTAAACTACCTCTGGGAGTTCATCGTGTTGAAGGAAGACTAAGCCCATGTTTGGCTAATGTTTATAAATTGACTATAATTGGTGAAACCACTTTTCATCCACACATCTCGTGGGACCCACCAGTAATATCTACTTATCCATCACTCATTTCTATCAATTTCTAAACTAAATTATTTATAAACACCTCCCAAACAAAGCTTTAAGTCTTTAATTACCAAAATAGTATCTTGGTCGCATGCAAAATTTGCACATGGTTTTAATTATACATATTTGATATTTCATCAAGGTTTCTTTTTAAACCCACCCCTGCAAATCATCCATACTCACCACAGGTCCTTAAAGGAAAGGATGATGTAACTAGGAATTGATCAATTAATAAGCATGTGACTCCCAAGAAAAGTTGGAGAGTATAACAAATTTGATAACTTCAATTGAGGTCTTCAGGATGTCAATTCTTTTTCATTAACCCAAATTAACTTCAATTTTGGCATTACAATGTACTAAATGAATATTGAGGAAATATAGTTCCGCTTTAGCATCTTTTGTTGTAGATACTGTAACAATACCTTAAAACAATAATGAACAACCAAGTGCAACAATAGGATATGTAGCCTCATGAGAGTTTAGTGAAATTCAACCGTTGTTATTTGATAGTACGAAAAATCTTCCAAAAGTTATTTCTCATGCATTAGATTAGTGACGCAATATAGAAAGAAGAAGATTTCATGAAAAAGTGGGATTGGGATCGAATTTTTTTTTTTTCGAAGGGTCTGTTTTCGAAGAATTGTGTTTCTTTGAGCGGAAACGGCCCAAGGAGCAAAATATACGGGCTTTACCCTTAACGTACGGCCCATTTCGATCAAATTCCACTGTTTAGGGCTTCGAAAACGTATTTTTTGAGATATTTTGTTTAGTTTAACTAAATTAGAATTTTTTAATTCCGTATAAACTTAGTCGTTATTTTTAATTCTCATCATTATCTAGAGTTAGTCGTTATCTAGAAATTTAGTCATTATCTAGATTTTAATTACTGTTTTAAATATGAATTATAAGTCTTATGGCAATAAGTTGATTTTGATATAATAAAAACCGTGAGAAGTTTTCTCCAATATCTCTTTCTTTGTATTCATGAGCGAATCATCAAGTTTAAGGTTTTTTTTTTTGACATTTTGTTCTTTCCTATAGCCTTCCGCTACGTCAACAAGTAAGACCGTTAAAAATGCATGTAGCATATTCTTATTTTGTCTCCTTGTAGAAAATCTTACCGATGTTTGTTCTTCTGATTTTTTATAACAGGAGCTTGGACTTAGTCCATCTGTTCCTGTTCACGTAGTTCTTAAGGATTGGATAAGACATTCCGATGGGAAGCTCAGCTTCTTGGGATTTGTCAGACTTCTACACGGAGTTTCTTCCCGCGCATTTCAGAAGGCTTAAGAATATTCGGACTTCAAATTCATTCTCCACTGCAAAGTATTGTCATTGGACTGTGTGTCGAAGGGGATTAAGGTTGTCCCTACTAATCCCAAGGAAGCATGAAAAACACAATTAACTGCACAGAGGGTTCCTGCACATTGAAGCTGTTGTCATTCGCTTAAGTATGTCTTCGCTTCCATTTCTTGTTTCTCCCATTTTGTGCCACTGGAATTTAGAGGACTGTACAGTTGAGAGTAGATTACAAAAAGTATTTAGCACTAGAAAACAGCTTAAAGCTGAAATGAGTTGTCTTTGGTTGTGTCCCTTGTGTACCCTGTGCACTTAGCTTCTTAATAAATTTAAATTGTGATACAAGAGTTTTTCAAGTAGAATACAGATTGTTTTGTTCTTGAAAATAGATTCCATTTATCCGTCTAACTTTATACTCAAATCCAACGTTAATGGCTTCAAAATCTAACCTCAAATAGACTCGGGAGGCTGGGAATTCTCCGCAGGCATCCAACTTTCTCTAATTTCAAAAATTGCTCAGTTGTCTCATTGGGTTTTTCACATTGTTGAAAACCACTAAATTTCTACTTCAGTAGCAAAGGCATTTCAAATTCGTCAAGAAAGTTACTCATAACATTATTAGAAAAGGAAATAATTGACAGAAAATACATCTTGGTACAAAATTCCCATCAAAGGATTACAAAGCCAACAAGTCACTTCGACCACAAGATTTTCGCACACCTTCGGCTTGGGGTTTTTGCTGTAGGTGAAACTCAAATATGTGCAAGATACAAGGACAATATCTCGACATTCATGGGAGTCGAGGGCTGTAATTCCTAAGTCACATACAGGCTACAGCAAGTTCTCAAACAAAAACTGGGACATCTCCATGCTCAATTACCACCTTAGTATGCTGAGATATCCCAGAAGCGATATTTGTTAGGGGCCCAGCTGCCTCAAACTAACCCTGTGGTAATTCTTCCTTCACGAGAAATGCTACAAAGTGAGGAATAAAACCTAAATTTGTTTGCTACATCTTCATTGCTCATGGCTGAAAGCCTAAGGAACAGAGCATACTAATTTTCCAATTGTTCATATACCTTAATGAATAATGTACAAGCAATTATATCAAATATATTTAACTAGATGTTGGAAGTTTATACCTGCATCCTTGACACTATTGGAAATATCAACAAATTTGTTGTCCTCTCATATCTGTAATTGAGCCGGAGAAACAGTTGATATTAATACATTAATTCATAGGGTACATTATAGTGTATATAACAGAGTATACACTGAAAATTGGGAATCAAGAAGACATGTATACCTTCAGAATCCAAGAAATTTGAAATATCAAAGGACTTTCCATCATACTTCATCAAGCACATGTGCACTCAGCACTTAGTTGTCTTGAACACAATTTTGTCTTCACGGCAATTTTCAATTTCCAAATCCCCTAGTGAAGGGAGCACAAGTTTCATAGTTCTGAGAGGAAAGCATTCTGATTCTATAATGATAAACGAGCATTAGCTGCCTCAATTTAGGTAACATAATTCTGCTTGTCATTCCTTCTTCAACAATTTCAATCTTTCAAGATGGGCTGGAACAAAGCAGTTGGGGGGATGTGTTAAACATGCCACTAATGTTTTACGCCTAGTGGATACTATATGAGGAAATACATCAGTGTTTGACGAGGTTTTATTTTATTTATTTATTTATTTATTTTGAGTAACAAAGAATTAGACAGGAAACTCATTATTAACACCATTAGAAAAGAAAATAACTGGTTTCATCTTGAGAATGAGTTGGGTAAATAAAGCTTTAGGAGGACCAAAAAAATCGTCCATTGATGTGTCCAAAACAAAGAAAAAACTTTAGGCTACAAATTACTCCAGACAACTGACAGAACAAACACGATGAAAAAGCCAACAATATATATGATCCGCATTCCTCAAATGTTGCTGCTTAAAGCACGATGATCCATCAATTTTTTTTTTTCATTTTCAAATCTTTTAACTATCCACAAGTTGAGTCTTATTAGAGGAAACAGTTAAATTTTCTGTAAACAGTCATATACCATGTGCAGGACTTCTTTTAAAGGAGCATTTTTGTGGAGTCCATTTCCCTCCAAAACAAACTACGAAAGGAAAAAAATTTCATGCTGTGATTTTGAACACACACATGCACATACATGAAGATTTTGAACAATTTGGTAAGGGAAGCTGTGATTTTATTAACTGAATGCCACAGAATATATACCTTCATATGCTAATTACAAGGAAATTTTTGTAAGTTGAAGAGAAAAACAGGGCTGTTAAGCAATGTCATTGACTCAATCTGTTTGCTTTGATGTTGCCACAGTTTGAGATATTTGTTTCCTTGACAAATTTTGCGGTATCAAATCCACTGCTTGTGACTAGTGATCCATTTTCATGTTTATTACAAGAATAGTTTCCCTTGACAATATGCAAACAAGCAAAATTCTTGCAATTTCGAAGAAAGAAAGAAGGAAAGAAGTCTGAGTTTTCAAGAAATTTACCCATTTTGCATCATTCTTAAGTTTTTCTTAAGGTGAGATGCTATTGGTGCCAAGTGGGTTACATGAATTTCATGTTTTAAAGTTAATTGTATGATTTATGTCACTTTTTTTGGTGCTTGACCTCAAATTTGAGAATGGTTAAGATGTAGCATCCGAGAATATCACATTTGTTTTGACGATTTACATTTAAGCTAGAACTAGAAATGTAACGTCCCAAAATTTTATAGTATAGAATCATTTAGTGTAAGGATTTTGACCTAAGCATATTTTGATAATATTGAAATGCTGAGAGACTAAAGTGAAATAGTATTCAACTCAATTTTATTTAGATCAAATGATTAGATTTTGATAGAGCGAGTATAAGTATATTGATATTGGACTCATTGTGTCGATTGTAATTAATTAGGAGTTTTTGATTCAAGAAAAAGTTGTTTCGGATAAATCATATCTTTTTAAATCCGATTAAAAGAATATAAACTTAAAAGAAATTTAAAGGAATTTGAAATATAATCTAAAACCCGTTTTCCTCCTTTTTAGTGGGGTATTTTCCAAACTAGCCGGGTATATTAGATCCATTTGGGTTTTTATGAAAAAATCTATTTTACCCTTAATATACGGGGGTATTTTTCAAACTAGCCGGGTATATTGAATCTTTTTGAGTTTTTATGGAAACGTCTATTTTACCCTTAATGAAATGAATTTCTTTATTGCAAGTCATATCCCTCTTTTATGAATAGTTTTTAATATATAACTCATTTCTAATTTGTAGTATATTGGGGTAATCTTCAATATATCTTATTAATTTTTTATCAAGCTCTTCAATTGATATATTTATAGTTTCACTATGTTCTACTTCTTCTATTTTATTAAATTCTTGAGTAATAAATCTCATTTCATCTAACATTTTGTCTAACAAATTATCTAATCCTTTAACTGTATATCCTGACATTTCAGATAGTATAATGAGATAATAATTCAAATATCATGAATATAAATATGAACATTGAAATAATTGATCCCTACGATTCTTTAAGATTTAACAAGAATTATTTCTAAATTTAACAAAAACAATTGTTTTACCTTAATCTTGATTTTTAAGT